GTTATCATCCCATATTATATTCGGATTTTCTTCCCGCATTTTCATTTTAGTGCAATCCTCGAAGCGGGCTAATACGAAACTTCTGTTTTTCACATTCGCTTCTCAAATTTTAAAATGAGTAGTATTTCTGATGAAGAATTATTATTTGCAATTGCATGCGCATTTTAAGAGGAAGAGCAAAGGAACAAAAAAAAAACGAATTTGGGTCCATAATGTAAATATGGACCGTATTTTTAAAAAGATGTTAAACTGATTTTTCTGCTGTTTAAATATACCTATATGTTAAATATTTATTCTATTATATTGCGTCTACGTACCTGGTTGTTTCATTATCTGCCCAATTTCCTCCCATATATTTTGGCGTCCTTGCTGATTACTGTACTCTTTGTTTTTCAAATAATTATAAAGTTCATTTTATTGTTGCACTAAAGAAATTAATAGTCCGTCAACCATTTTCACTCTTTTTGGCACCTGCTCAAAATAACGTTAAAACAAATCAAATTCTGCAAGTCGATTCCTGTTTACATCGCGCATTTCATCGAATTTACGAATGACGTCATCCGCACGCATCGTATATACGGATTAAGGTAAGCGCGCATTTGTTCGCACCGGACGCAACGGACGCATCGAACGAATCGCAATATATTTGTTATCATCGCATATTATATTCGGATTTTCTTCCCGCATTTTCATTTTAGTGCAATCCTCGAAGCGGGCTAGTACAAAAAATCTGTTTTTACGTTCGCTTCCCAAACTTAAAATGAGTAGTAGTTCTGATGAAGAATTATTTGCAATTGCATGTTCATTTGAAGAGGAAGAGCAAAGGAACAAGAAAAAAAAACGAATTTGGGTCCATAATGTAAACATGAAGAAGAAATTGTATGGAGAATTTCATACCTTGTTTGATGACTTGATAAGAGATGAGTTTTCCAATACTTTTGGATGACCTATGAAAAATTTAGAAACGACAATCAAATTCTGCAAGTCGATTCCTGTTTACATCGCGCATTTGATCGAATTTACGAATGACGCCATCCGCACGCATCGTATATACGGATTTAATTCTTTTTTAAAGGTAAGCGCGCATTTATTCGCATCGGACGGACGTATCGGACATACGGAACGGGCGAAAATTATTATTTGCCTTATTTTAAATGAGACAACGCACATAAATACGTAGACACGGAAATCCGTTCAGAATTATTAGAAAAGAATTAAATCCGTATATACGATGCGTGCGGATGACGTCATTCGTAAATTCGATGAAATGCGCGATGTAAACAGGAATCGACTTGCAGAATTTGATTTGTTTTTAACGTTATTTTGAGCAGGTGCGTAAAAGAGTGAAAATGGATGACGGACTATTAATTTCTTTAGTGCAACAATAAAATGAACTTTATAATTTGAAAAATAAAGAGTACAGTAGTCAGCAAGGACGCCAAAATATATGGGAGGAAATTGGGCAGATAATGAAACAACCAGGTACGTAGACGCAATATAATAGAATAAATCTTTAACATATAGGTATATTTAAACAGCAGAAAAATCATTTTAACATCTTTTTAAAAATACGGTTCATATTTACATTATGGACCCAAATTCGTTTTTTTTTCTTGTTCCTTTGCTCTTCCTCTTCAAATACACATGCAATTGCAAATAATAATTCTTCATCAGAAATACTTCTCATTTTAAATTTGGAAAGCGAACATGAAAAACAGAAGTTTCGTATTAGCCCGCTTCGAGGATTGCACTAAAATGAAAATGCGGGAAGAAAATCCGAATATAATATGCGATGATAACAAATATATTGCGATTCGTCCGATGCGTCCGTTGCGTCCGGTGCGAACAAATGCGCGCTTACCTTAATTATTCTGAACGGATTTCCGTGTCTACGATGCGTCCGATACGTATGTATGTGCGTTATCTCATTTAAAATAAGGCAAATAATAATTTTCGTCCGTTCCGTGTGTCCGGTACGTCCGTCCGATGCGAATAAATGCGCGCTTACCTTAACCTTCTAATCGTCTTTTGTTTATTTTTATTTTCGGTTTCTGTCGGTTCAGGTTAAACTTTACTACTTTTACATTATAATATACAGGGTGGTCCGAACTGTATTCCGGAAACTTCGGCAGCATATTCTGCAGATTAAAATAAGTTCGTATAAATGTATGTCTTAATATGCTTAGTTTCGGAGATACAGGGTGTATAGAAGTTTCATTTTTATTTCGATTTTTTCCAAATAATTTCTGAAGTAACGTCAATATTTGCATGAAAATTAGTGCCTGGAAGTTTTTTGACATGATATTTGATTTTGATGTCAACATGATTCCTACTTGGGAACGCCATCTACATGTGTTTTAACCGTTTTGAAGAGTAATAACTTTTCGTCCGTACCTGTATAAAACTAACTGAGTGAAAAAATATACATTCTCATGATTTTTCACGTAAAAAATGTCTCTTGGTAAAAATCGCTACGAGCAAATGTTCTCAATATATTTAGAATGGAAATAGTCAATACATGTCATTACTGACAAAAAATAAACATGTTGAATAGATAGATAGTTATTTGACTGAAATGATAAATTTTGGAACTTTTTATTTTTTTAAATTAATCATAATTTTTTCTTCGAAAAAATGATGAAAAAACAGTTTTTGTTGAACTTTTGGCACAAAAACATTTCAAATTAATAATTTCAGTCTAATAAGTATTCAGTCAACATGTTTAATTTATCTCAATGATGACAGGTATACTGATAATTTCGATTCCAAATATTTCGAGAACCGTTACTCGTAACGATTTTCACCAAGATAACTTTTTTACGTAAAAAAAGTCGTAAATGTATATTTTGTTATCATTAGTTTTATACACGTACGGACGAAAAGTTATTACCCTTCAAACCAGTTCAAAATATGTAGGTTGCGCTCTCTATAAGTGGGAGTCATATTCACATTAAAATCAAATTTCTCATATCAAAAAACTCCTAGACAACAATTTTCATCGAAATATTAACGTTACTACAGAATTTATTTGGAATAAATCGAAATAAAAATGAAACTTCTACACCCTGTATATCCGAAACTAAGCATCTTATGCCGGGTCCAGACCAAACAGACAAAACAACGACAAGACAGAAATATTCGTTTTTTACAACAAAATTGTGACAAATCCAATATATTTTTGAGACATTTTTGTCTCATTTTTGTTTTGTTTCAAAATTCGGAGACTTTTCAAAGTCCCGTCACGAGTCGGTAAAGATCAAAGTGTCTATGTTTGTTCGTATATTAGCTTTTTTCGTTTTCCTGCTATTACCGATTCTGAACCGTCCTAGAATTGTGATGCGTCTGCGCAGAAGGAAATATTAAGACATTATTTCATTTGCGCATGCGCTGGAGAGTTCTAGGACGATTCAGAATCGATAATAACAGGAAAACGAACAGACCTATTATACGACAAATTGTCGGCGCAGTGTGGATGGCGTGTGCTGCCAACAGTAGACCAGTGAAATCACACATGGTTAATAAAACTCATTCGCAACAACTAAAGTTTTGACTTTGTTGTACTTTTGCCCTTGCGGTGTGGACAATTTATCTCAAGTTTGTCTTGTCAGAATTCCTCATTTTTTGTCACAAGTTTGTCTTGTTTTTGTCTCAAAATATGTTTAATTTTTGTCGCCTTGGTCTGGACCCGGCATTAGGACATACATTTATACGAACTTTTTTACTTATTTTTATCTGCGGAATATGCTGCCGAAGTTTCCGGAATACAGTTCGGACCACCCTGTATATTTTTCACGACCTCCTCCAAAAAGTAAAGATGAAGATCTGCAGGTAAACTCGTACTCATAAATCTGAAAACTCTGTACAAAACCATGCGCCGAGCCGGCCCACGGTGGGGTATTAGCATGAAAAAGATGATCGAAATTCGAAAAAGCAAATGTGTTTAAGATTTCCCAAAAAAAGATAAATGATAAGTTAAATCATGTCTGCAATGAATGGCGTTGCTATGGGTGTGTTTAGTTGCATTCATTTGTTTCAACGAAACGTCAAAGTTGTTACTTCTCACAGATAAGAGGTAAATGGCTAAATTTTATGTCTAAAATTATAAATTGTTTTTGTTCTTGTGCTCTTTTTACGTTTATATTATTGTTTTGATTGAAAATGGCTCAGCAAGCTGCAGGTATGTATTCTACAAAAACGTATTATTTATTTTGATATTCTCTATACTAACGATTTTTTTTGCAACTAAAAGTTGGGCGTTCAGAAAATTTGATTAAATTTGTGACATTTTTATTATACTTAGAGATTTAGTTTCTCATTTCGAAGAATTCAGCATATTGTCTATATACGTTTTACTTAGTAAACATTGGGCTTTCATACAGTAAAATAAAATACTGCGACTTTTTGCGACTTTGCTGATAAAATGAGAAAAACATTCTTAGTTTCCTCTAATTTGCCAATCAGTGATATACTAATGCGAGGTGTAAACTGCGATGGAATTGTTGTGTACAAAGCGATCGCATTAGTGCCATTAGCAGTATAACATAATTTGGCATTAGTAGCGACTTTAGTGGTATGGGCATTGCTCGCGGATCAGTCGTAGCATTAGTAGTATTAGTTGCGATATTACTACTGGTATTAGTGGCATTGTCCGTGGAAACACTGGAACAGTGATTTTTCTTTCTTTTTTTAGAATCGACGATTTATCCTTTATTTTGTTCATATTATTTCCTCTTTAATTGAAATTAGCAATAATTTATATAAGGTCTACATAAAAAAATTTCGATCAACTATCTGTGTCAAATACCCCACTGTGCGGCCGTCGCGCGTCGACTAGATAAAAATTTGGTGACTGTGAACGGGGTCTTATTTATTCACATTATTAATACAGGTTAATACCAAAACAGCAAAGACAGTTTTAGTTCAGGGAATTTTATTTAAGAAATTAAGAAATTCTGTCCATATTTTTAGCAATTTCTAAAAGATATTTTCAACAAATGTAGGGAAAAATTCGGAATCGTGGCATCGCCGAGCCGGACTCCTGCTCCTTCCCCGCGCGCAATCGTGTCGAGATTCCCCATCGATCGGCCGGGAGTAAGATACCCCCGGCCAGGACGAGGGACCACTATTCTACCGTTTGGTGGTGTTAGTAGCGATCGCGATGTTGCAGGAATAAGTATTTGGTCGGACAGGTGGTGGTCGATATCGACGTGACTAGAAAAGCAGGAGAACCTCTACTGGTGGAGGAGGAGAAGGAAGTGCCGTACAACAGGTACCGGTTGCTGCTGCCCTGTTTTTTTGTTGTATCTGTTGCTGCTATTTTGTGTGTATTTTCGTAGCTCGAAGCTTGATTGATTATTGCATTTTAGATTTTCGAAAGTAAATCACTACGTGTGTATTCATTTGATTACTACAAATTGTGGCAAGATCAATTTATAGAATACTTTCCTTTTTGATAAGGGTGTTCAATTGATTGCAACTAAATATTCTTGGTGTTTTTGCATGAATTATATTGAGTAGTTGTTGATGGATATTGTTGTATTTATGGGGTAGGGTTTTGTGACAAAATACCTACAGAGCAGGGCGCAAAAAATCAAGATTTAAAAAAAAATAAAAAAATCGATTTTAAATTTTAATAAGATTTTTTTGATTTTAATCAATTTTCTCTTTAAATCGGATTTCCCACTACAGAACTAATCAATGGCTTATTTCCAGTTAAAGGCTTATCTTAAATGGCTATCTTATCTTAAATGGCTATATCTTCGTAACTCTGATCGATGTCGGTGGAAATTTGGAAAGGATTAGAAGCTAAATCGGAGAAGGCAGAAATTAATTTCATCTACATACAGCTGTTTCAATGAAGATATAAAACAGCGTTGTCACCAGGATATTTTTTGACATTGATTAAGAATCCTCGGGAATAAAAATATAATCCATCAGAAGAAACTAAAGTTTACAACTACAACTTTTGACTTACAACTACAACTTTTGATATATGAAGATAGTGTAAACTATTATTTTATTAACCACCATTTTCGAATTTAGTATGACTAATTTTTTTTCCCTGTTTAATGCTCAAAATTTATTTACATGTGAAATGAGAAAATCCAGTATTTCTCATATTGGCAAAAAAAAAATAAGGTGCAAGACTGGTCAGTCCTATATCCTGCTGCGTATATTTTGAAGAATGATTAATAAAATTAAAGATAACTATTCAGCGAATGGTTTATTTGAAATTTGAATCAAATAAACAGCGGCCATGTCTAGTGTAAACTGTGGCTCAACTAACAAATTTGCCATAATATTTTATATACTTTGGTGTGCACGTATATAAACACATGCTTGTACTACTATATTAATTTATTGCCTATATAGAAACCAGGAACAGTTTACATTATAAACTTTAGTGTTAATATTCGGTTGGCAAGCATTAAATATAGTGGGATATTTGCTAATTTACGTTCAAGTTTTTTTCCATTAAAAAAGTTATGTGTTTTAAATAAAATTACTTATTTCAAAGGCGACTGTGACGCTGTTTTTTCAATAAGTACAGTGGAATGTAATTGTTTTGATCATTATGTATTGAAGCATTCACACACCATTCACATGAACACGTCATTTAACGTCAAATGATCTGCAAAAGGCTCTTTCTAAATACAAGGCTAAAAGTTTTTCAATAACCGTATAACCGTAGAAAAGTTGGCATACAAAACAATAAAATTTAAACAATAGTCGTGTTCGCTGATAACGTTTTGATTCATTTAGGTCACGGTTTTTTTTAAACAGGGGTATGTTGGTTATAAAGAAAAAATTACAAAAGTCGGCGTCAGAGATTGCTTGGAAATGATAACTGTCATTTTATATGGGAACTGTCATTGATGGTTATTTGAAAGTCATCTAGACGCCGTTTTTATCATTCGGTAGTTTCATATACATAGAGTTCCCGAATGCGTACATTGATACAAGGGATGACGAAGACAAACATTTTTTTAGTTAAATTTGTTTTGTTTCGCTTATTTTGTTAATTTTTTTTTAGTCATTTTATTCAATATCTGTAGTATACCGGGTGTTGCCCCCTATAACTTTTTTATTTTTTCAGGTAAAAAAGCGAGATTTTGAACGTTAGTATAAGACATAAAACAGAATTGATTGACGTATTCAATTATGTTCGGTCACTTCCTGTTTTACTGGAAATGACTACAACTTTTGATTAGTAAATGACACCATCGGTATTTTGTTACTTTATTCGATAAAAAATGACACTCTGAGTAGAATGGCTTATAGGTTTATTTAGCTTAGGTTGGTTTAAGATTATGTTAACTTTTGACATTTTACATTATTTGAAATTGTAACATATGGTTTATAACGACAATTTGACTCGAAATACCTATATAGTGTGTGTTTTCCAAATACTCTAATAAGCCACCATCGTTTCATTTGAAAAAATGGAGATATGATTAAAAGTACGATTTAGGCATCTTTTACCCGGCCAGCACAAGATATACGAAAACATTAGACGATCAAATCTATTTTTCTAAGGCTCCTTGATTAAAAATTAATGTTTTTAACATTTTTAACACAGCCATGGCCCATGGCACTCTAGATTGAGATTTAAAATACGATTTTTTAAAGCGAAAATGTCAACAGTTGACATGATATGTCATTCCATTCAGAGTTGCTGTCCTCCATTCGCGCAGTTGTGCAGCTCTGAACTGTTCAAGAACGCGATACTCTCACTCCATTCAATTGAGTCATAAGTTCAGAACTGTTCCGCGTCATATGGAGGCACCAGGCTATCGCGCACAGCTCCTTTCAGAACCGTTCTGAGTAGCTCAGGGCGTAAAGCTCTGGAACTTGAAATTCGCGAATGGAGGACAGCAAGTGTCCCGCGAATGGAGGACAGCAAATTCCCTTTCGAATAAAGCAATGACTAAAGAATATAAGGACATGTAACGCCCATATACGGACTGCAGCAGAATTTGTGACCTTCGAGGCCATTCTTTTGATGGCAAACAATGACTCATCATTTGGTCACCAGCGACAATTTTAGCGATTTTTAATAGTTTGTGTGTAGTGAACTTTGTATAAACTTGGTGATTAGTAGTTCAGCTTTCAAGTGTAAAAGCAGCAGCTATAATAAAGAGCCAGGAGTTACGTTTCATAGGTAAATAAACAGTAAACTCCAACTTTTTAGCGTTTTCTTATTGAATTCGATAATTATTCTTCAATTTCAATTAACGTCTATATGTACTTGATATGTGCTATACGTCGATACTAGTTTTGTACCTTCTGTTAACATTTTAATACGTTTTTTTCGTAATTAATTAGGATGATACACCATAGGCGTAGTCAAAACAATTATCAAAAAATATAAATATTCCTTCAAACAGCTAGGTTAAGAAAAATATGTGCCACGGCACTGTTTGGTGACATCGGCACAATTTGCTCTCGAGTGTTATTTGTCCTTGGATTCTTTAGTCATTGGAATAAAGTAAAAAAATACCGAGGGTGCTATTTAAAAATCAAAAGTTGTAGACATTTCCGGTGAAACAGAAAGTGATCGAAAACAATTGAATATGTCAATCAACCCTAATTTATGTCATATACTAACATACAAAAAAATAAAAAAAGCTTTAGAGGTATGCCACTTTTAAGAAACATCCGGTATAGAAGTGTTCCGAAAAAACAACACAAAACATTAATTTTTGTTAAAGGAACAAGCTGGGCTCTCCAGGACATCAGGTACAAAGGGTAATCGCTTTTTCTTGTTCCTATCGTCGTGTTATCCCTTTTGACTTTTTGAAAATGGGGCCAAAGGAGGGTGGGGAAGGGAATAGGTACGTCCTTGACCCATTTAGGTCTAGCGCGGCGCCCCAAAACTTTCGGCAGCCCTACGAAATATCGATGCGACATTTTTTCTCTAAAAAGCTGGATTCTTGCTGTATCGATCGAGAATTAAACAGGGATATCGTATGTCTATGGTTAGGGAGGATAAATTGTTAAGTATACTGTGTGATTGAGTGAAACTAAATCACAGTAGACCTAAAAATATAACGTCAGTTAATTACTACTATGAGTACTATGCCTATCGCCTATTGTTGCAATTATTCTACAAGGAAAATTATTTTAAGTTTACATCCCTTTGTTGTTCATTGTGATCACATTGAATACGACCAGGTTACTTATTTTAAATCACATATAATGAAAATAAACGATCTTGCCATTATCAGCTTTAAATTGTTGTTTCATTTTAATTAAAGTGGTACATGTGAACTATACACGAATTTCGCGTCGTATCTTGACTACAATGTAAACAATTTCTTTGTGTGTAAATTATTCATATCTAGGTTTCGCAGGAAATGTATCTTAACTGTTCTAAGATAGATAGGATCTCTTTAGGTCGAGTGAAGGCTTTACCAAAAGCAATAAAGAACATTTTCAAGTTCGGTTTAAATTATATTATCAGAAAATAAAAAATAATAAAGAAATAGAGAAGCCTGTTTGGTTAGTGTATCAGTGGAAGGTGAAGTGTAAAAACTACAGCACTACCACTTGGTTTACTGAAGCTGGTTAATGATAGAACAAATCAAGAAAATAAAAATATGACTTGTCTTTGCTTACTAGACTTTAGTAAAGCGTTTGGTACTCTAGACCATGGCTCCTAGCAAAATTACAGTATTTTGGATTTTCAGACGGCTCTTTAGAATTGTTAAAAAACCTTTTAAAAGATAGATGACATTGTGTTGTCATGAAACTTGGAAGTTTAAAACAAAAATCTAGTTATATTCCTATGATTTCTGGGGTTCCTCAGGAATCTATTCTAGGGCCACTTTTATTTTCGTTATATGTAGCTCACATGGATAAGGAATTACAGTTTTTTGAATTGCAGCAATATGCAGATGATTCTCAAATTTATTGCAAAATAGATACTAACAATTTGGCACAATTTCAGTTAAATTTTAACGACGATCTTAATAAAATTAATAAATATGCTCTGGATCATAATTTGAAATTAAATGCTGGTAAATCTTGTTTATAGTATTTGGTAGTGGTATAAACAAAATTACAAATACGGCTGGTAACATGAATATCCATATAGATAATGTTGCGATACCCATTGTTAGAGAGACTAAAAATCTTGGAGTCTATTTTGATGCGAAGCTTTATAACTACTAAATTAAAGGCTGCTTATATACGTTTGAAGAATTTTTCGTCTCTTAAGAAATATATACCATCAAAGACTAAGGATCAATTATGTGACACACTTATTTT